ATATATATATATATATATTCTTTAAAGAATATTTATATAAATTTCAAACAAAACTTAACTGAACCCAATGGATATAGAAACAAATTTGTATTTTAGAATTGTGCCAGTGGACTCAATGAACGGTATATAAAATATGAAATTCATACTACTTTCAAGTACATTGTCTGGTGCACATTATTTAGTCATTTTAAATAATAAATTATTAACTATTTTGGACATATTTAAACTTTTAGGAATGTGTTATGAAAAAAGCAATTTACATGAAGAGTAGAGCTTAGTTATTTACATTTGGTAGCTGCTGTATACATGATCACACAAAAATACTTATCAGAAGGCAAACTGCTAAAAAATATTCTCAAAATATCTTGCAATCTATCAGCATACATTACTATCTCTAGTTCAACATACCTCAAAGTACTGGGCTACAGACACTCATCACTTATTTTCTACAAATTTCACTTGGTTTTAAGTCAAGTGAAACAAAGTTCGTACCAGAAGTTGTAGCGTGCCTTTCAATGTTCTAGCCTCCCATTATTTTAAACATTATATCTATTTTAAATAATTGAATATGGTGGGCCTGGAGAGATATATCTGCATTTTTATTAATGGTTACGGGTACAACTCTGTAGATTCTGTTGCCCACTTTCTCCCACTTCAGTACGACTTGATTAATTCAACAGGGCAAGTGGGGATTATGAGTGACTCCAAAGCCTATATTATAGAACCTACCGTTTTATGTTATAAGATAAAGCAGCTTTTTGAAAATGCATATAATTCTTTTTGTATTGCGTAAACTTAATATACAACCTTTTGAATAGTAAATTTTGCTGAATTACACACGAATGTGTGTATAACTTAATAAAATTTACTATTTAAAAAGATTGTATATTAAGTACACATGGGGGAGACAGAGAGAGAGAGAGAGAGAGAGAAAGGAGGGGGAGAACTTCTGGCAAGAGGCTAGACCAGCCTATGCAATTTTCCTAGCAAGATTTTAGAGCAACTTGCCATTGCTGCCTTCCTAGGATTGAGGGAAAAAACGACTGGCCCAAGGTTAGCCAGCTGGACTTCTGCTAAATTGGGACTAGAATTCATAATTTTCTGGTTCATACCCTAGTGCTTTAAACTATTACACCAAACTATCTTTCTATATTCACTTTACTACATGAAAATACTAAACTTGAAATCTGTCATTAGATGACCATTGCTTCTTATTTTTTCAATTATGCTTAACTAGGAAACATGGACTAAAGTTATTACTCCAATGACTGGAATATTTAATGTTCACAGATACATATTTCTGTTTTACCTAGGTCCTTCTTGAAAATACAGCAAGACCTGATTTGAACTGATAGTTTGTTGCCCTAATAAATCTCATGTTGTGGGTCAGTGTATACTTATGATGCATTTTCTTTTCCTAGCATAACTTTCTCTATTCTTACTTTGATAGGTTGTTCTGCCATGTCATCTGACTGACTGAAACTTCCAAATATTAACCTGTTGCTTTGTGCCCTAAAGGAAAGGTCAGGATTTCCAGCGGGGCTGCAATAATTGTTATCCCTGGTTATTGTTAGCCTTACATATTAGCTTCTTTTGCTTGCTTGCTTGTTTTTTGTATGCCTGCTTTCCCATTCTCAATTAAAGTTGCCATCTTTGGGGGTTTTGTTCTGTTGCTTCACAAGCTGAGTAAGAGACCAGTACACTTATTGCCTCAAAGTAGCGAATGTGTTTGTGTGAGGGACTACTGCGAAAGCACCTATTTTGGATCCTGTTTTTCATGCCTCCTCATGGTTGGAGGGAATAGAATTGGCCACTGAGCCAATAAATATGTACATCAATATATGTTTCTAATTTAGTTTACATGTATACTGTTCTGTTGTGGAACAAAGACGGACTCGAGACTGGTGTTGAATTCAGCTCTTTATTTACTGTCAGTAACTTCAACTAAAACCCGAGCCGCGGCAGCCTCTTTTATATCGGCTGCTCGCGGCTCGCAGCCAATGGCATCGTTTTAAACTTCCCGCGTTTGGCGGACCAATCGCAACAGTTGTTAACCACCAATCGCTAGGCGGCAGTGGTCGTCCAATCAGAACGTAGTATTACGAGTATGCAAATGTCTATATACAACATATACCTCCTATACACAGAGTTGTATCAGTGCATTGAGAGAGAAGGACAGAAGAAATTAAGACAAGGAAAATATTTATGAGACATATCTCTTTATTCCACCTTCTATCCCTATTGCAATTTGCATCCGAGCTGACTTAATTGCATAGTGCAACTGTAATGAAATTGGCCAAGGCAGATTTATATATTTTGTGCCCATAAGCATATTTTAAAACGGGAGAACTGCTCCAAATATATTTCTTTGAATGTAGCCTGCATCAAAGTCGTCTCTGCCTATGGAAAGTTAGCATACTGGAGGCAAGGTTAGATTCAATGCCTCTCCACTCCCCACTATGTTACATATTCATATACAGGAAAATGTGTCTTTTCCCATTGACAGAACTGCTCAGCATTCACATGTCCTCTTTGAGACATGACCTGTCAGACTTCCTAGTCATACAGTAGATGAGGGTGCAAAAAAAGAATTATTATGAAGCTGTTGTGTGCAAATCCTGTCACATCTTCTGATTTTCAGTCCTCGGTGTCTATAGCGCAGGTGAGGTTTTCATGTCACACATACCACAATGATATTTTGAACTGCAACTTCATATATGGCTTGCGTGCTGCTCAATATAAATATTTTATACCTTAAGACGAACAAAAGTGATGATGATATTGCTACGATATTGCTCCATCTGAGAATTTATGGAGATGCAGATCATTCCTGACTTACCACCATTTGTTTTAGTGATTGTTCAAAGTTACACCATGGTCACGTGATCAAAATTCAGATACTTGGCAACTGGCATGTATTTATGATGGTTGCAGTGTCCTTCTGATAAAAAAAGTCAACAGGGAAGCCAGATCCACTTAACAACCATGTTAAACAAACATAACCACTGCAATGATTCACTTAACAACTTTCACAAGAAAGGACATCAAATCGGGCAAACGCACTTAACAACTGCTTTGCTTGGCATTGGAAATTTTGGGGTCAGTTGTAATTGTATGTCAAGCATTACCTGAAGTGCCATAGTCAGGTTTTGCTACTTCTCTGCATAATATTGCTTGCCCACCAAAGTGAGTAGCATGATTGGCATTAGATATTCTAACCCATCCTTCTGTCCACAAGGCAGCCTATACATTCCCATGTCTCTCCTCTCCTCTCCTCTCCTCCCCCCTCCCCCTGGCCCCTCCCCTCTTTTTATTGAATGGAAGCCATTAATTTGTAAGAAAAAAATAAACCCAAATTATTCTATCATTTGGAAATGCACTTACTTTCTTACAGGCCTACAAAATTTTACTTTCGTGTTATTGATCTGTATCATTCTTCTGTATTATTTATTCTGCTTTTCAGTCCCTGAATTTCACAAGTCACCAATGTCGTACATATTAAATGATTTCACAAGTTTGTAATTAAGCATTTCAAATATTTCCAAAATATGTTCTGATTCCCCTACCTCCTTGCTTACTTATCTTTTCCTGTTACTCTCATTTTCCATTTTTGGCATGCTTGTGGAGAGGTTTTTTTTTTTTTTTACTGCATTTCTTTCATATTTTATCTATGGCTTTTTATTTTCTGAATTGCTTTTTCAGAAAACTAATCCCTTTTTAACAAAACTATTTAAAAGATATGGCTAGGCAAATAGTGATATAGTAAGCCAGAATGTTATCTAATTTGAGACAAATGGATCAAATCCATCCTTCTCTATGGTTTAAATTGCAACTCAATGTTTATATTACTATTTAAGTACCTAGATTTGCACAGAGAAGAATCTTCAGAGGAGAGTCTACAATACATCCTGGCTTTTTCCCAAAGCAGAAAGGTCTTTAAAATGAGATTTCCAGACTTTTGTTTTCTTTCCATGTTTATGCTTGTGACAAATAGACTTATAAAATAGGTCAAATTGCTAAGCATGTTGTATAGTTGATAAGATTTTCATTTCACAACCTATACTTATCAGTAATTCTTAACTCTGAAAATTAATGAGCTCAGATTATTATACTGTGTCCTTTATACTCCTTAAAAATGAGATAAACATAAGAACTATGCAAAGCTTATATTCAATGATGATTATTTTGACTCATTCCTTCAAATCAGTTTTTAAATTGTTTTAATGCATCTATCTAATCAAATTGGCTAACTCTGCACTGATTTGAAGGTTTGTTGGAGTTTTGTACCTTCACATCTATGCTTTTTATAGACATAACTATTTTAAATTAAGTCATCATTCCAACCAAAAAGTAACTTTTAATTCATCTTGCAAATTCATATAGGATTTTGCCTGATTTGCAACCCCTTAAAAAGCAAGTAGGTCCAGTGTCTGGCATATGATTAAAATCATCCTGCAGCTAGCCGAAAGAACAGAAATTATTCTGTTTTTCCGATGAGTCTGCTTATTAACAATTCAAGCAGAAAGAAGTTCAGAAATAGCCAATCATGGTGAAACCCAGGATTAATTATCTAATACTTAGCATCTCTTGAACCTTGAAGAAATTCCTGCCAGTATAGCTTGTAGGGAGGCCACTGTGGCATGAAGAAATGTCAAAGTTTTGACTGTTTGCCAAATTATTTGAAGATATCTTTCTCTTTCACATATGGTATTTTAAAATAGCTAGATGATTGCTAGAGAAGGACATTTGAATAACCCATCAATTGCTGAAAGGACCTGATTGGATGTATTCCAGGTGATTCCAGCATATAAGTATAAAATACAACAGTGGGGAAAGTCAAATTCGAAGAAACACAGGTCTGCTTTTGTTTCTTTTTTAAAAAGATGTTTGGTGGTTGGGGAGAGAAAAGGTTGGATTCATTGTAGTGATGCTTATTAACTTCATGTGATCTATTGCTTGGCAAATGTGGCTTCTCACATGCTAATATTACCAGCACACAGTGACATATTGCACTGAAATCCTACAGTAAATCTGTTTTAGATTAAGATTTTCTGGGCTATTATGATAAACTAAACTTTGTTTTTGAAGTCTCAATCATTCACTGTAAGATATATCAAAAGGGATATGTACAGACTAGCTTTCAAACATGGGCTATATGCAGAAAACAAAATCAATCTATCCATGAAAAATTTAGTTCAGACATCTGTGTACAAAATATTATGGCTGAAGGGTAAGGAAGCCAACAAATTTCTTGAACATAATGCTTTATGCTTGTGCTGTGGTGAACATAGCACATCGATGTAACCATCAATATTAATAATCAATTGATGGGGGTGGGGTTGGATGAATTGCATCTATCACAACAGTGTTGTATATTGGTAGTGGTTGATCTTGGTATAAGGTTCTTCGTACAATAAAAATGACTAGCGTTGAGCAGACATCCCAAACCTCTGAGGGTAGTGGGCATATTTGGAATTTTGAGAATATGTTATTGATACCCACCACAATATGGTTAACCTGGTAAATGTGTTAGAAGAAGAAAAGTGTCCAGGAGTTAAACTACTGAGTTTTTTCTTGTCTCACAGTCTCTTACCATTTCAGTCTACCTTTGTCTTCCTCCTCCACCTCCTCCTCCTCCTCCTCCTCCTCCTCCTCCTCCTCCTCCTCCTCCTCTTTGGAACATACTTCTGACCGCTAGCCACTACTATTATTTTCTAAGAATGCCTTCAGGGGTCAAAAACATTATTGGAAATAAAATTATGCTTGAGGCTGCCACTTTGCAGCATATAGGCTTCCTGGTTATTTATATTTAATGTAAAGAGCCTCCATAAATAAAATCAGATGGGATGTGGAACTTGGCAATTTCCAAAACAACTATCCCAGCTTCTTTGGTGCTATAGATACATTTCTGTGGATTCATTTTG